CCCCCCCCCCCACCTTGGGTCCAGTCCTTGGCCCCTTCAGCCCAGTAGCAAGAATCCCGCGGAGTCGGTTTAACAAAAATCCCTCCCTCTTGGTCTGATCCCCCTGGGTAGCTGCTCAAATTCCTCATCCTGATGTCACCCTGCCCTGCCTTCAGCAAGAACCCTGTCAGGGCAGTTTAGCAAAGATTTACCCCGCCTCTTAGTACTTTTACATTCACCTGACCCCACACCCTGCTCCTTGGCTATAAATCTCTTTTCTTTCTTGTATTTAGGGTTTAGCCTAATCTCCCCTACTGCGAAAGCCCACCATCGTTGTCCTTCCTGGATAGTCGGCCTTACTGTCTTTAGCACATGTCGTCAGTTTCTCTTTAACTGAGGTCAAAACGCTGGACAAATGCTTGCCTAATTTTACTTAACAAGAGAGGGCTGCGTGATGAACGAGCCCCTTGGAAGTGCTTGCTACTCGCTCAAACTGAACCCACCTTCGCGGGGTGGGTGATGCTGGATCTGGTGGCAGCGCCAAATCGCTCTCCTTTCGGGGTTGGTTTCCGCCTGGGGAACTGACAGGCGACAATGGCCAGAGGGCAGGTGGGCTCCCCGAGGGCAGGGTAGCCACGCGCGCCCCGCATCTAACGACTCGGATAAGTGAACAAAAAGCGAATGCATGGAGGAGGCCAAGCTTTTGTAAACGGACAAAAATGAGCTTTCCAAGAAGCAGCAAGCTATCGCACGTCTTAAAAGTGACCGGTTGGTCGCCGAAGGAGCTCTGCTACTGGAGCCCCTACGGAGCGACCCGGGAAAGAGAGCCAGCGAACAAAGACAGCCAACGAGCGAAGGCATCGGAGTCCGCAGGCGCCTCCGCCTCCCAGACCCCCGGGAGCCCCTCCTCCCGGCCGCTCGCCCCGCCCGGATATCCGGCCTTGCCCCGCCCCCCGCTATTCTCTTCGCCCGGATATCCGGCGTGGCCCCGCCTCCCGGCTACCGGGATAATGGCGCTGTGCGACGAGGTTGTGTGCGGAAGCTCTCTGCTCTGGCCTCGGGTGTTGCTCTTCGGCGACTCCATCACCCAGGTACCGCCGCTCGGCGCCGTCCATTCCGCGGAACCCGGCTCGGCCCCCACGTGGCCCGGTCTCTTGGGCGTCCTCGCCGCGCCCTCGGGAGGGCGGCACCCTGGCCGAGAGCCGCGGGCCAGGCTCCTTCGGTGATTCCTGGCTCTCCTCTCCGCGCGGGAGGGGCCCATTCCTCCCGACTGTTACGAGGTTGTCGGGGCCGCCTCCCTGCACCCCGCTTCCCCCAGCAGATGCTGCCCCAAGGCCTGGACGCTCACAGAGCGTCATGTCCCCGCCGCCTCCAGGGCCCCTTCGTGACACCCTGGCAGTGGTTCATTTCTCGGTGTTGGTAACTTCAGGGAGGGTGACATCTTCAGGAGGGCAGCGCGGCTTCGCAGTCATGGACACACGTTCCGTTTAGTCTTAGGGGGCCTGTTTGACGGATGAGACGAAGTGCAGGGAAATTCAGGGACTTGTCCACGCCAGGCGCTGGGAGTGACAGGGCCTGGGCTGGCCGCTCTTTCCTTTCTGTGTCATTTTTCATAGGGATTTTGGGAAGACCTGGCACGTTGTTTTCATCGTAGTGTCTTCCTGGTCAGTGGCTGTTGTCCTTTTCCCTGAAAGGTACTTTGAATTTGCTCACAGCGGGAACAGTGCTTTGTGTGCCACGCGGAGCATCCTGGGGCGTCACCTTGCACAGATCACGGCGGCGCCTGAAGCACTTGCTGCAGTTTCGTACCTCCCATTCCATGCGGAAAACACTCAACCCCCGTGTGCTTCCTCTGATGGAACATCTCGCTGCTCTCTTGAATGAGATGCCGCCAAGTGATACCGACCAGGGTTCTTGGCCTTCCCAATAAGTAGAAATGGATAAGAGGCCAGTCCAGAAATTCAGGCAGGGCTTGACTGGGGCTCCTGCAGCTGCAGGAGGGGAGCGAAAACAATAACAGGTTCCCTTGCTCGCTCCCCCCCCCACAAAAGGGGCCCGAGTGGTGGGAGGTGAGGGTAGGGGTGTGTCGGGCCGAGGGGCGGCTGAGGTGTTTCGCCCACCCCCTGGCGGTGTTGAGAGCAGGGGGCACGCGCAGGACCCTGCTTTGGCTCTCTGCTCTTCAGAAGTGGCAGTTGGGTTTTGGGCCTTTTTTGTGTCTTGTCAATAATTTGCCCCAGCTGCGCAGGGACGCGGTTATTTTTAGTCCCTTAGCGTTTCTTTGTGTTCTGTTGCTGAAGGAGGAGACGTAGGTCCAGGGGCAAGCTCTGCAGCCGAGGACCCCAGGTCCCAGATCACCTTTTCAGCCAAGATTATTTCAACTCTCATTCAAGGAAAAATAGGTGTTCTTACTTCAGGGAGGGGGCATACGTTTTAAAAATTACCTTCCCATGGTGTTTTTCATTTTGTTTTGTTTTATTCTTCTCACATTCAGACATGACTTCCTAAACCAGTTTTCTGCGTGTATGGTAACAATTGGTAACATTATTTTTAGGCATCTAGGGCAGTAAGGACTCTCCAAGTTCCGTGGGAATGTATATCAAAAAATATTCACCCTGAGTTCTGTAATTAATTTCTTTATTCTTTCAACTATGAAGAGGTAGTGTAGGGTGGATTTCACTTCCTAACTGAACGTAAGTTGATTTCATCTCTTGTACCTAGATTTAAGTAGCTTTTCTAGATAACAGTGAATCTAATACAGGTCTCAATAAAATGCAGGTGATTGGCTCAAATCCAATTGACAGGGAAGAAAACTACCTCTTGCTTCCAGAGTGCGGCTGAGGTGTAGCTCTAGTAAATCCCCAAGACGACCTCGGAGCAAAGCAAATGGTGAAGGCCGAGAAGTCAGGGAGTAAAAGAGAAAACAAGAGGGGAGTTGCTGAGCAATACAGCCTAATTACATTGATGAAGCGTAGTGGGCTTTTCTTTCTGCAGTTTTCTTTCCAGCAGGGTGGGTGGGGAGCGTCGCTGGCGGACAAGCTGGTCAGGTGAGAATAGTTTCTAGATTCCTACTTGAGTGTTTACTGATGGAGAAGAGAGTGAATGATGCAGTTTGAAACAGTAAGTTCCTCCTTTTGTCTTTGCAGGCCTTTCCTAGTTAGTGTATATGAGGGCTTGGGGGAGAGAAGGGCAGTGCTCAGGTTCAGTTAAGCTTTGCCACCTCATGAAACCAAACCCTAAAAGTTGTAAAATATATTAGGGGCTTGGATCCGAAAATACAGCTATTCACTGTCTAAACAAGACAAGTTCTTTTTCAGTTATGGTGGGTACGATTTAAATAATTAGCAAGGAGTTCAATAGAAAGAATACAAAATATATTCTAAAACCAAAGTTGGATTCATTTTTGGTTAGAGATTTTTCCCCCGATTCTCTTTATAAAAGATAGCAGATATATAAAATTAATAATAAAATATATCAGATATATAAAAAATATTTTAAAATATATCAGATTAATAAAAATAGTGATGATTTTGGTATTCCATTTGCCAAACAGAAATCATTAAAAGGGAAACAATGTTCCAGGTCAGGTGCCAGAGACTTGAAAACACTGCATGTTTATTGTCTCATTTAATCTCTACAACTGCCCAGTAATACAGTGATTTATCATCCTCCTCTCCAGCTTATAGCTGAGAAAAATAAGGTGGAGAGAGGGAGATGACAAAGTCACACAACTAAGAAGTGTCAGGTGGCCTGGCCCCAGAGCCCAGGATCCTCCGGCTCTGGGGATGACAAGAGCCCTGCTCTCCTGTCGGAGGGTGAGTCAGCTGCTGTGCGCTGCTTAGTCAAGCGCCTGGCCTGTGAGAAGTGCTCCATAAGTACTGGCTCCTTATTTTTTTAAAATTCAGTACCTGTTTAATTAGTCCATTAACCTTTTCTGATCAAATAGAAGATATGGAAAAGCTAAGTAATTATTCAAATGGTCTGAAAAACTGCAGGCATTGCAAATGTTTCTCCAGTACATAATGTTAGTACTAAAATCTTGTCAGAATTGTTTACAGGTGTGATTGCTAGAAGACCATTTAATTAGCAAGTAGTTATTTTTCAGAATTGAGAGTAATTATAGGAAAAGATGAAGCTGCAGACAGTGTGTGGTCTGTTAGGCTTTATCTATGTCACTCTTAAAAGCATCTTTTGACAAAAGGCACAAAACCGAGCGGCCACCGGGAAGCCTCAGCTGGTGAGTCCCGCCTCCCCTCTCCTGGGCTCACTGCCCTCGGCCAAGCCCGAGAGAGCCCGTTGTGAACCAGAGCGGCACCGCGGCCCGGCAGCTAGAACCCAGGCAGAGCGGGCTCCTCCTGTGGGCGGGCGGGCGCGCCCACCTTCCACCAGGCAGGCCCATGGGAGGGGTGCGCGGCAGAGGGACCGCAGCTCCAGCCCAGCCCCCCTTTCTGTGCCGGCAGCGCCGCCCTTTGTCCCACACCCGACAGCTGCCCGAAGGAACGCGGTCTTTAGCCACGTTGACGCTGGGGGTGAATCTTTTGCAGACCCAGGCCCCCGACTGTCTGCTTCAGCCACGTGCAAGGCCCAGAACTGACTTGATTCAGTGTTTTAATTTCACCTAACTTCCAAGTTTGAAGGTTATTAAGAGTCACTTTACTGTGACTGCCCTTCTGTACTGCCTACGTGGATAGCAATACATTTAAAATATGTTAATTGTGTCCCATAGTGACGTCCTTAAGTTTTAGCTTTAAATAAGATCTTTGTATACTCAGTACAAAAAGCATTTTAACCATTCTTAAATCCACTTAAATGCTTTAAATTTATTGATATATTTTCATCAATTTTTTTTAGCCTTATCCAAGTATTTAACCAAAAATACTTGGTTTGAAAGGTTAGAAAAAACTCTTTCAGTTTTTAAAAGCTTCTGTTTGCTTTTAAAGATATGCTCTTGCCTGTTGTCATTTATAAAAACCTAATTTACATTTTTTCTGGAAGGCAATCAGTCTTACAGAGCCTGGATGTTTTGGAAGGAATCTTAGTTAATTCCTATCCTTTTCCCAACTTCATCTGAACTTAAATACCTGTTATTAGCTAGGAATTCATGTAAAAACCTTTCTTAATTTTCCAGTTTCTCCCAGCCTTTTGAATAACTTGGGCACTGTTGATTATGTTATTCAATCCAGAGAAATTCAGATATTCTTCCCCTTTCAGAAGGGAACTTTAACATTTTCAACCATGGGCCTCACTAGCAGTTTTTTTGGTTCACAGCCTTATAATAATATATATATATATATATATATTAAAATCTATAATAGCTGGCATTTATTGAGCTCCTTGTACGTATCTGGCCACTACATTACTTTTAATCTTCACATTATCCTAGCAGATTGGGTATTAGTGTTCATCTCTCAAGCTGGGAAGACTGAGGCCCGGAGAAATTAAGTTGTCAAGGCCTCCTTGCCAGTCGAGGGCAGCGAGATCCAGGCACTGGCTGTTCTGTGTCATACAGGCCTCAGGGAGGGAGCTGTTCTGCCTCTTGCTTTTTTTTTTTTTTTTTTTGCAGTACGCGGGCCTCTCACTGTTGTGGCCTCCCCTGTTGCGGAGCACAGGCTCTGGACGCGCAGGCTCAGCGGCCATGGCTCACGGCCCCAGCGGCTCCGCCTGCCTCTTGCTTTTTAAAGTGCTGCCGTGCGTGACTGAACTACTGGATGGATGTAAGACAGACTTGTCAAAATTCTAGAGTGTTCCATTTTAAAGTATTCTAAGTGGAGGCTTTAAAATGGCTAGTCAGCATTTTGTAATTGTTACACACTAAAAACACAAGAACCACACTTAGAAATAAATGTGGCTGAAATTTTGTTGCCCCCAAGGCTTATAAATGCTGAGAAGCGTCAAACCGGAGTCCCTCCTGCAGTTCTTTGGCCTCTGGTGCTTGGCCTTTGGCCTGCAGTTATTTCTTGGTGCCCTAGCTTCTCTGCTTAGTTGCTTATATGTAGGAATTTGAACCGTACACCAAAATTAACTACATCAGTTTGCTAACCATCAATTGAAGTCGGAGATTCACTGGGGAAAAAATTGTTTTTAGTGGACAACTTGAAACATCTACAAACCTACCCGAAGTCACAGCTACTCAGCGTTGGAGCTGGGATTCTAACGCAGGCAGCCAGCTCAATTTCCATGGTTTGTTTTTTTCACTATACCATATGGTACTGTGAATCAAATCATATCTTTTTAAGAAGGAATAAAATGCCTGTTAAACTGGTTTAAACTGAAACACAACTAATACATATCTACTAAAACTACTGAATCGAAACCACGGGGTAATAATGAGAACCGTGTGTCACCTGTAACAAATGCACCCACTGGTGGTGGTGTAGGTCGTCGGGGTGGGGCTGGGGGTTAGGGGAAGTCTGTACCTTCTGCTCAGTCTCCGTAAACCTAAACCTCCCCTTAAAACACAGTCTGTAAAATAAGTCTCAGGAATTCCGTGTACGCTTATCCCATTAGAGTTCCAGCTTATTAGTGCCTTTCTACCTTTAATATCTGCCTGCTGTAAACTCCATTTCAAAAGTACTCCACTGACCATGCATGAGATCAGCTAGTCTGCATAGCCCCTCTGTTCATTATTATTCATAACCTCTCTCGTCGAGGAATGGGATGGACTTGCTACATCTTGGAACCATGAAGGGGACGAACATGTCTCAACTCTGCTGCTGCTCTGATCTTACCAAAGTGATACCTGGGCAGCGGCAGGGCCATGGCACAGAGCGGGCACTGTGAGCCCAAGCACACCCTCCCACACGGAAGGTTGGCTACAGGCGACCAGAAATAGTTCTTTGCTCACAATTCATCTTTTTTTTTAATTTTTTTAAAATTTATCTTTTAATTAATTTATTTTTTTGGCTGCATTGGGTCTTCATTGCTGCGCGCGGGCTTTCTCTAGTTGCGGCGAGCAGGGGCTGCTCTTCATTGTGGTGCATGGGCTTCTCATTGCAGTGGCTTCTCTTGTTGCGGAGCACAGGCTCTAGGTGTGCGGGCTTCAGTAGTTGTGGCATGTGGGCTCAGTATTTGTGGCTCTTGGGCCCTAGGGCACAGGCTTAGTAGTTGTGGTGCACGGGCTTAGTTGCTCCGCGGCATGTGGGGTCTTCCCGGGCCAGGGCTCAAACTCCTGCATTGGCAGGTGGATTTTTAACCACTGTGCCACCAGGGAAGTCCCTACAATTCATCTTTAAAATTTTTTCATTTCAGAAAGTGCAGTGTTCTGAATCGTGGATGTTCGGGTTACAATACCAGATGGGCGAAGAGTCTCCTCCTGAGGCTAATCCGGAAGGGGGCCAGTTTGGGCAGCCCAGTAGCAGTTACAATTTTCTTTGGTGCCAATGACAGTGCACTAAAAGGTAAAGGCATTCTTGTTTTCCTAGTTCATTTTTAATTGTTTTTTTCGTTACAGCAAACTTAAATTTATATACTTTTTTCATCTGTTTACCTATCTCCCAGTAGGTAAGGTTTTGCCAAATTTATAATGAGTTCCCTGAGTTTACTTCCTTGTATTTTTTCTGGCTTTCTTCAGTGTCAGTGAATTTTATTCCCGACTTATTTTCTACATGCCTGGGTCGTTGGCAGACCTAAAATTTCAAGCACTTGAATGTTTTTTAGAGTCCAGTAGTGCTGTGCTCAATTTCTAATGTTTCTTTAGTTGATGTAGTTGGCAGCAGAGAGGTCAAACTGGACACCTTGCCGTGTGACTCACACTGATGGAGAAAGGGTAGCTCGGGGCAGCAGCGCCCTGACCCAGCACAGGCTTGACTCCTGGGCGAAGGGAAGCAGGTCTGAACAGGAGACATGTCTCTGTAGTTTTGGAAGAACTGCTGCTGTGACTAGAGGCACAGGCCTTTCTTCCTTTCCTGCTCGTGAAAGGGGCGCCCTCTGCTCAGCATCAAGGAGAAGCGTAGTCAGCTTCCAGAGGCTCCTCCCATGCCCCACCCCCAGCAGCGAAGGTCTGCTGTTAACAGGCACACGCCCGGGCCTCTCAGGTGAGGCTGGAGAGAAGGGAAGGAAGGGACAGCTGCCGACTGTGACGCAAGGAAGTCTTGCCGCCTGTGAGATCATAGAAGTTTTCAAACAGGTGAATTCTATCAAATTTAGGACAAGGAGAAATACTTTCTAAGTACAAAAACTTAGAGGAAATTGCAGTGGAGGAAACTGCAAAGGAAAAAATAGATTTGTGAAATAAATTAGCTATGTCAAAAAAACTGTTAAAAAAGGAAAATGACACATTAAGGAAAATGTTTGCAAAAGCATGAGAGACAAAAGGTTAATGTCTTTAATGTAGAAGTCAATTAAGAAAAATATTAACTCCAGTTTAAAAAATAGGCAAAGGCAGGAACAGGTAATCGAAACAGGAGAAATTTAGTAGCCAGTACATGTTTGAAAATGTGTAAAAACTTCTGTTATCCACAAAATGAAAACTGAAACAAGGAGTTTTGGTTTTTTGACTCTCAAATCCATGGTTTTAAGCAGTAATATGTACAGCTGACAAGTGTGGAAAACAGGCACTCTTACAGTACTGGTGGGAAAACGTGAAACCTTTCTGGAAAGCTTCCCTAGAGACTTCCCTCATCTAGAAACCCAGCCTAAGGAAACACCTAGTATGTAATGCAGCCAGGTATACGTGTAAAGATTTCTGTGCACAGTTATTTATAATACCAAAAAATTAGAATGCTGCACAGTAAGGAAATAGAAGCATCCATTGTGGTCACCCGACAACTAAACACCATGTTTTTGAGGACTTTTTGTAGGCACAGAGATGCTCATAATGTTACGTGAAAACACAATATGGTCGTTTATCTTCTGTGTGATCCCTCTTTTTTTTTTTTTTAAAGTCTCCATATCTGCATGGAAAAGACTGGAAAGAAGTACGACCAAGTGCCAGCAGTGGTTTTCTGGGTGGCAGGATCATGAGTGCTGTTACTTTTCTCCTAGATTATACTTACGTGTGGTTTGCAAATGGCCTGCAGGGAGCCGTGTGTGAGCCTGTCTAGAAGGAATCCTTTGCAGTGGCATCAGCTGTTGCTTAGTTTATTTATTGAGGGCTTCCTTCCCGGCAGGCACCTTGCTCTAAGTGCCTTACACACTTCACTGATGTAATTTTCACAGCTACCCTATGAGGTAGACCCTACTGTCATCCTCATTTTACCAGCGAGGAAACGGAGGTACAGAAAGGCTGATCGTTTGTCCAAGGGCACGTGGCTAGCTAGTGACAAAGCCGGGCTAGAACCTGGGCAGGCTCACTGCCCAGCGCAGGTCTAACTTCTTAACAAATTCAGCCTAATTGACTAATAGCCACATGACCAGTAAAGGAGGAAAGACGAGAGTGCTTACAAGGCCTCGAGCCAGAGCCTTTGGAGTCGGTTTTATGCAGGACTCTGTACTTGAAGTCTTCCCCCTTCTCTTTCTGCGCTTGGCGCTAAACAGCTCCCCAGCGATGTCACGAGTTATGCCCATTTGTGAATGTGTATTAACCTTAATTGTCATCACAGCAAATGTGCCTTTGGGCTGAAGTGTCCGTATTCCTCCCAAACAGGTGAGAACCCCAAGCAGCGCATCCCCCTGGAGGGAGGAGTATGCGGCGAACCTGATGAGCACGGTGCAGTACCTGCAGTCTGTGGGCATGCCCGAGAGCAGGTTCATCCGCATCACGCCGCCGCCGCTCTGTGAGGCCGCATGGGGACAGGAGTGCCTCAGGCAAGGTGAGCGTGGGCCGGATGCCGGGCCCAGGGAGGAGCAGGTGGGACCTGGTCTCCAGCCTGGGGCCTCGGCTTCTTGGGGGCCCGTGAATTCCCGTCTGTCTGCTTTAGTCGACAGAAGTTAAAGCAGAGCTCCCAGCATGTCGTAGCGTGATGCAGAAAAGGATTCTGGCCGTGTGTGAGTCAGGCCCCGGGCCTGGTATCTGCCCGGCTCCAGGGTGCACAGGAGGCCACCGCCGTGGCGCAGAGGCTCGGGCTGGCTGCGTTTTGACACTGACATCCGCACTCGGGGTGTTTTCCTGACTTCTGAACAGCAGGGGGAGGTCGCTCTGCCCATTTCCTGCACGTGGCCCTTTCTCCGCTGCCACCAGTTGCCACTGCCAACTGGTGGTTGAGTGATCGGAGGCTGCTCCGGGGCTCGCCAGCGCTAGGGTTCTGGCTCCCGTTCTGTCCCCACCAACTATGCATCTTGGCACCTTTATGTGCTATACCAGGACCTGGCCAGGTGTGCAGGATACAGAGATGACTAGAACCCAGTTTCTGCTGTTGGGCTAGCAGGGTAGCTAGGCCAGCTGTCATCACATATTTGAAGAGTGCTGTCACATAAAGAGGACAGAAGGCTCTGCTTGTTAGCTCCAGAGGGCAAAGGGAAGACCCCCGTGGACATCATCAAGGGCGATTTTAGGCCATGATGATCGCTTGTGAGGTGGAAAGGTGCTACAGGAAGCATTCAGGCTGAGCCTGGCGGGCAGAGGAGTGTGGCCAGAGCTCAGTGCTTCTCACGTTGCAGGTCACAACCCATGCGCGGATCGCGAAACCAAGTGAGTTTGTGACATTTTTTTAATGGACTATAATAGAAAAATCTGTATCTAGAATGTGGTGGGCACGTCTCATGAGACTGTTGCACGCTTGTAGACGTGCGTGTAATGAGTCCTGCTGTATCACTCTAGTTTTAGCCAGGTTTATGACTTTGGACCATGCGTGGTTCTCCCGTGGTCCCAGATTAGCAGATCAACGTCATCTGGGAACTTGGTAGAAGTGCAGATTCTTGGACTCATCCCAGACCTGTGGAAGCAGAAGTCTAGGGGAGCGGCCAGTGCATCCCCCGGTGATCCTGGTGTACCTGAGCGTGAGAGTCCCCGCACTGCGGGGGCGGTGGGCAAACCACGCCCCGTCGCCTACCAGTGCATTCTCCCCGGTGATCCTGGAGTACCTGAGTGTGCGTCCCTGCACTGCGGGGGCAGTGGGCAAACCACGCCCCGTTGCCTACAACAAATACAGTTTCACTGAACAACAGCCAGGCCCATGGTTTACATGTTGTCTGTGGCTACTTTGGAGCTGTGATGGCAGGGCTGAACAGTTGCCCGTAAAGCCTGTCTCCTATCCAGCCCATGGCAGAAAAAGGTTGCTGACCCCCAGGCTGGCCTGAGTGACCTCTGTGCTCCCTTCCACCTCTCGCCTTCTCTGGTCCACAGTCTACAAGTGACTTTTCCACTACATGGCTGTGGCTTCTCATTACACAGAACAATTCAGGGGCCTAAGCCCAGTGGTCCTCCCCACCGTACCCCATAGCGGTCACCTGCGCAACTCCGTTCGCCTCTGGCCTGCACTCTAGCCAAGCCACTCAGCTCCCCCGGCCTTTTCTGCTTCTGTGTCTATTCGGTGTCCTCTAAATGCCCTCCATGGCCATCCCCATCATCCTTGGCCCTGTGCTGGGGAGGGCAGCACACTAGTGACCCGTGAGGCCCGTCCTCGTGTCTCCCAAGCCCCGTGGCTGGCCCACTTTGGGCCTGTAAGCACACGCCTGTTCACTTGAACTGAGAAACCCTCCAGGTAGTAGAACTTGCACAAAGACCAGCACTTGGGTTTGTCAGTTGCACAGTGGATTTTCTCTTCTCAGTAGGGTGCAAATTAAATCGCCTCAACTCGGTCGTTGGTGAATATGCCAGGGCCTGTTTACAAGTAGCCCAAGACTGTGGGATTGATGCACTTGACCTGTGGACCCTGATGCAGAAGGACAGTCAGGTATAGCGGCATGCTCGGTCCTGTCGGATAAGTAGAGTCACGCAGAAGTGACCACACTGTGCACCGTCCGCCTGGAGCAGCTCTGAATGGGTGAGACAGTTGTCCTTTTCACCAAATGGAATGAAAATGTTGGCTGGAGTGGAGGAGCTGCAGGGCCGCCTGCAGACCCAGCACTGTGCTTGGCCTGGTTCTGTACCAGCACCCAGCAGCTGGCACCATGCTCTGGGAACCCCTTTAATAGGGGTTGGCATGTAGTGAAATGAATGAGCAATAAATGGTTCATATTTAAGAACATCCAGGCCAAGTTTTGTAATATGGAGAGAGGGGAAGTTAAAAGAGGCAAAACAGTGCATTGAAGTAGAATATGGTATTAACTAAAATTCATATTTCGAGGTACGGAGTTCTAATTGGTTTAAAGCCAGAAAGCCTACTTACAAATATAAAAGGTAAAAAGCCAGTCCCCGTGCAGAATGACACAGCCACCCCGGAAGACAGCATGACAGCCTCCTGTACAGTTAATTATATGTGCACTTACGTGGGACCCAGCAATGCCACCGCAGACGAGAAGGCCGTGTCTGTGTTCCTCTGCACCCTGACTGGACTTGAGCCACCTTGTGCGTTCCCGGGTCGGGAGCAGGCTTGGCCACGTGACCGCTGAGACCGCACCCAGAGCTGTGTTTTTGTCTGCGTTACGCTCCCACCTGAGATGGTTTGGGAAAGTAATGCTGCTAGAGAAAAGGAAACCACAGACTGCTGGGCTAGTGGCTCTTTGAAAGTCCTTTTAGACTTACTTAACGTATTAAGAGTCCAGAGCTGGGAAGTTCTTCCTCAGCGATCATCTGACCTAACAAACACAGCAGAGATGAGAAAACTAAGGCCAGGGAGGAGTGCGGCTGATCCGAATCCCTGGTCTGCAAGTCATGAACCAGCTCCAGGTTCTAATGGGGATGGGGGATGGGCAGAGCTCCCGCGTAGGGAAAGGATTCTTCCCCAAAGGAGAAGGGGCTCCAGGGGTGGGGCGTCTGGACTCTGGACGGTACAAAGTCTTTTCGTCTAATACTGTCAGTCTAATTCCTAGACTGAGAAGAGTCAAAAACAATTTGACACCCTGGACCCTGAGCTCTTGTAACAAATTTTTCACTTTGTTGGCTACATCAATGTGCTGTACTCACTCTGCTGACCTGGAAGGACACTTCAGCTCAGGCGCTCATTAATGGTGTGAGGTTCTGTGACGCTCCGTGTGTCATATGCAGACACTGTCCCTCCACAAAGGGCGTGGGAGCATTTGATGAGCTAACGCAGCACCAGAGGCTGCTGTTCAGGCCGGGGACTCGCTACCTGGGGCCACAGCTTGGAGACCAGCCACACTTTTAACTGCGTTCTCTTCCCCTTACAGGACTTTTCTTCCGATTTGTCAGACGGACTACATTTATCACGAAAAGGAAATGAGTTTTTGTTCTCCCATCTTTGGCCTTTGATAGAGAAGAAAGTCTCTTCCCTGCCTTTGCTGCTCCCTTACTGGTGAGACATAGCAGAAGCAAAACCAGAACTAAGTCTTCTGGGAGATGGGGCCCACTAGTCACAGAAAACCAAGTCCAGCTGTTAATCTACAGAACAGGAAGTCACCAGTGCACAAAGACCCCAAGATAAGTGGTCAGAGAAGGTTCTTTTCTCAAGTTTAGACCTTTGCTCGTGACCCTGCAATAAAAATCACAAACAAACATCTGCCACCAAGATTAATAAAAGCATTGGAATGTTTCAGGACAGCTTTGTACCTAGGTACATCGTGGTTTGATAATATTTATTGATTGATGTAGGTGTCATCAGTGCCACAGCTACAAAATATACCCTGAGCAGCTTGTTAATTTTATAAATGGAAAAAAGGTAAAGACAGTGTTGGTTTTTTAGAAAGTCACAATTTTATAAAAAATGGTTTCTTACATTCAGCTGGGAACCATTTCACTCTCATACATACACCCACACACCCCACTCACCTTGTATCAGATTGCAAAAGTGTTAACTACAAGATAAGAATATTATGACTAGTTAAAAGACAGCAAATACCACAAGGTACAAGTTCAAGTATTAGTGTAACAGGTATCCACATAACAAACATCCTTAGGAAAAATGATACGATTTGTCACAGGTTTGGTTGATTGCTCTCAAAGCTTACAAGTTATCTCAGTTGAAATGTGTTCGCTGGTGAGCACATTTCAGTACTTAGCAGGGGAAAGAAGCTTTTAAAAGGAAATCAGAATTCAACCTGATGGTTTCTATCCTTCACACAGTAGATGCAGACCATACTGAAGCACTAGATCAAGAAGTAACGTGGGTCAACAACACCAAGGGTTTCTAGCAATCAGCTGTGTGGGGAGAAAGCCCCAGGCCAGCACATCACACCCGGTTCTTCTGGCAGAAACCATCTCCTGCACGCTTTTGGCCACTAGTGTTTGAGAAGAGGCGACCATAACTCAACTCTTGTTCAGGCTTTCTGAATGGCCAATGTTTTAAGAGGATGGTGACAGTATTGATACATGAAGATACTTCAGAAACACACAAAAACTGCCCAGCTATCTAGGGTCCTAAAACAGTTGGCAGAATTCTGTAGATTCATTGGGCTACAATTTGTAACCCTCGCTATAAGCTAGATTGTTTTAATTCTAGACATTAGAGATTCTTAACAATTTAGAATTAAGAAACCTTAACCCAACTTATCCCTAATAAATTTAGCAGTGTAATTCCCTTCTTCTGCTACAAGTTCTAGGTAATACCTAGAAACAGAACCCACATTTTGGAGACAATGTATACATTGGTTTTATCTCCCTTTGTCTTGAAGGCAAAAGAATAAATAAATCTATTCTGTGTTCCAGTTATCCTCACAAGAAACTGCTAGACGCCTCATTATGTTTGCTGGATCATTACAGTGTTTAAAAAAAAACTGAGCATCTCCCTAATCAGTGCCGTTCCCAATATAAAAAGTTAATTTACAAAAATGTAAATACTCATAATAACCTAATCCAGCTGTAGTTTCTGCTTTTGCATCAGAGGTTGAAGGATATCTTAAAGATCAAAAAAAATAAAAACTGAAAGCCTCAAAATAAGCTAGATTCACCTTACCTCTTCAGAAGGAAAAGGGCCTGACCACACAAGTATTACGTATGCGAAGGAAGTCCAAACACATGACCGGCATCTGCTGTGAAGTCACTTCCTTTTTTCTCCCAAATCTTCACAAAAACTGCAGTGATTTGAGGTCAAATCTATAAAAATATTCTGCACACGGAAATCAGAGAGCTCGGGATGCGGTCCTAAACTAGCACTCGGTTTCCTTGCTGTCAAGGCGGTTCTGACGCTGCAGCTTAAAGGACGAGGCCTTCTCGCTTCTGGTGACCGGATGGTCCGTGAGATCCTCGAACGACTTGGCGGCCGCACTGCTATTTGGGAAGGGGTCCTTCTCGAAGCCGTCCTCGTCGGCGTGCGAGTCCGTGCTGGGGTCCTCCTGGATGGTGTCCATCCGCTGGTGGTCCAGCTTTGGGGCCACGGGTACCGAAGGTGCGGGGGGCACCGCAGGGGCGGGCTGCGGGGGCTGCAGGCGGCCCGGGGTCGGGGGCGCGGGAAAGGGCTTGATGACGCGAACCGATGCGGAATCCATGCTGCTCAGCATCTCCACGTTCTGGAAAGACACGGAGTAGGTGCACCCCAGGTCCCACAGTCCCAGCCTCACCTGGCAAGACGGCCGCACCCCTCGGTGCCCTGATCCCCACGCTGGGGAAGGCACCCCAAGAAGGGACTTGAACGGTTAGCATTCAAGTCCTGACACGCCGCCGTTTGAATACCCAAAGGAGACTCACGAGAAACAACGCCGTCAGGATCCCAAGATAGATAGGAAAAGCTCTCTCAGTGTTAAACTAAGCCCGTGCTGAACAGCTGACCACTGAGGGCTGTGGGGAGGGCAGTGGTGCTGCTTTCGGTCTCCATCCAAGCGACTAGCAAACATTCACTGTCACTGTCATGAAAACTGACCTTAGCATCCAACCCAGATCCCTCCTGCTACCACAGGACCTTCCAGCCAGAAAAGGTGCCGCTGGAAAGGCTGCTGGCTCTTGCTGGGGAGGCCAGTGAAGGTCCCTGCTTAGCAGGCCTCAAAATACAACCGAGAACGACTCTTAAGCGATACTTACACTGGGGTGGAACAGAGACAGCGATTCAAACTGCTTGTCCAGTTTCTTATCCTAGAAAGAAGAGCAGAGCAGCGTCACTCCTACGAACAGCTCCGTTCAGCGCCCCTTCCTCATGAGCCCCTCCTACTGTCCGGGGAAGAACGAACTCAGAGCTGGAGGTGTACAAAGTGGGAGCAGGTCGCACAGAGGAGGAGGAACTTCGCAGCCACGCTTTAAGGGTTCTGCCCAAGTGTTTGCTCTGCACGTCAAGGAAATGTGTTTTTTGGCGTTAAGTAAGGAAACAGGCAAGGTTTAAGCGCTGGTGTCTGAGGCCCCGCCCCGGGCAGGAACAACGAGGGCGGCTCCGTGCAGCACTCTGGCCGTGAGGGCCGCTCCCGGAGGCTGAGGGGCTGTGCCTGCCGCCTCGCCCAGCGCTGGCCTCCCAGCGCTCCAGCCCGCCGGAGCCTCGTCACTCCTCCCAGCCGTGTCCAGGGTCGCTGTGGCCCCAGCTCTTGGCGGCGCCAGGCCTCGAGTCCCGACACACACCGGGCAGAAGGCTGGACACGTGGTCCGCCCTCCACCCTCAGTCCCTGCCCGGGGCCTGGCTTCCAGCCCGGCTGCCCTGAACGGCCGCTGAGGTCAGAGACAAGCCACTGCCCGCCCTCCCGTCGGCAGCCCTGCGCAGAAATCGAGCATCAGGCCTCTCGGTCCACAGTGGTAACACGCAGGTCTGACTCTCAGGTAAAAGCGACCGTAATGGATGGCACCGTCGCCCATCTGTCAAAGCCTCCACCACATCCCCTTTTAACACCAATCCGCTTTCGCAGGGCTTTTCCTGGCGTCCGGCAGGCTCGCCGCCAGAGAGAAGAGCCATTCAGTGAGAGCGCCCAGCCGAGGGAAGGCACGGGGCCATGAAGACCCGAGAGCTCGCTGGGCCGGAGCATCCCACGTGCTCGCGGGAGGGCCCCGTGCAGGGGTTTCAGGCCTGGAAGCCTGGCTCTGACGTCCTCGTCTCTACACAGCAGACAAATCCTCCTTTTCCCACAGAACCAAGGAGAACGGATCTATAAGAAAATTTCTGGAGAAAGAAATTTTCAGGAAGAACAGGACCAGACCGCCCAGAGAAGCCTCTTGAGCCCCTTAAGCCCTCCCTGTGACAGTGCAGGGATAAAATCGTGTTTCTGTGGGCAGCAGAAAAGGTCTGACGTAGGCGAGTCAAGCTGCCCGTAGGTCTTTCCTACCCACTCGGCACTCATTTCAAAATCAGACTTCATAAAGTGCCTGGAGCTTCTCAAAGTCCTATTCAACTGTTAACTGTTACTCATTTTGAACAATAAAGAAGACGGCTCCCTCTCCTCATGTGGAAGCATCTGAGCGAGCACCCCAGACGACGATGCCAAGACTGCAGACCTGATGGGGCAGCATGTCTGGAATGCTGCTGTTTGGCATCTGCTCTGCCACAGCAAAGTCAGCCTGGGTGCGCTCGTTTAGAAGCTTCACTCGTCAGAGGTCCTGGACAAGCCCAGTTAACCAGTCTCCTGTGCTTAGAAGTATAAAACTCCTCAGAAATTATACATGAGAGCAGAACATCCATGTGCAAAAAGTGTAATTTTTTAAGAGACCATTAGTTAATCTTTTTATGAAAAATTCTTTCCCAGGGATAGCACCAAAAATGTCATAGGAAACAGCAGGTCAGATTTTTCTGAGAACAAATTTTTATCTTTTCCGAAGGTAACATGGTTCGAGTTGCTCAAAATTTTAATAAAATGTTTCATTACTTAAAAACTGGTGACTTACCACACAATGGACCAGAATGCTGAAAGGAATCCAAAATATCAAGGAGAAAACCAGGACGGAACCTACGATGTTGTCTGCTAAAAACTTCCCTGTGAACAATTCCAAACAGTGAATATCTTGACCAAGTACTTTAGAAACTGAAAATGCAACGTTCTTAGAGTATTATCACGTGTCAAACGGCACAGGCTGCTGGTGGGCTATAACAACTGAGCTGGTACCGAGAAGCGTTTCTGTGCCACCTGCTCTACACCCAGCCATCCCCCCACACACGGGAGCTCTCCCCAGAATGGCCCCATGTGCTTGTGGAGAACAGATCACATCACAGGAGGACCCACACAGTCCCCGGAGGGACAGTGCAGGGGACTCATCGTGGAGGAGGCTCCTACTAGGAACGATGCTTGCGAAGACAACGCTGATGCTGTCTGGGTACTATTGTTTTTGTGACTAAACCCTAAATTATGAGCCCTAGAGGACACAGTGCATCCTTGCTTCTGCAAAGTGTGAGGCCCACTTTTAAATAAATGACTTATATCAAGCAGGATTCAGCTTTACAATCTATAGGACTGAAGGACACTTATGCTGTCACATGTTCATTTTTTAGTAAAGAAGCCAGTATTTTTACTTC